CAACAGTGTAATGAGTAATTGAATGTATGCGGACAAAATATTGTTGGCCACGTGAGATATAGCGTTAGTTATAGCGCGACTGTTGAAATTAAGTGTATCGTAAAGTTGTATTCGGAAAGAATAAACTAGTTTTATTAAGTAAGGACTTGTGTCGCTAAAGTTTCGTCGGAACGAAGTTAGGGAAAATCAACTAACGAACGGAGACGTAACAATATTTACAACAGTCATATGGCGGTTATAAAGTTTGGTACTACTGGAATGTGAAATATTTAATTAATTGATGCAGTCGTGACCCGTATGTAACTATGTATTGTTGCCAAAAGAACAGCCATATAATTTGAATCCATACTGTATACACCAGAATGTACAAAGGCTTAGCTCACCACACTTTAGCTGAATACAACACATGAATCCATACTCTACATCAGAATGTTTAAAGGCTTAGCACGTCACACTTAAAGTGAATACAATGCATGAATTTATACTATTTTAATTTCTTCTTAGTGCATTGAAACTGCTGCTTTAGTAAAATATCTTATAAAAAAGTAAATTAAATGATTATGTAGATAATCTGATCTATAAAACCTAACTTTCGTGCTTGAGTTAGCTGGAGATTTTAGATATGAATAACATTATCTTAACGTTTACATAAGAAATAAAGAAAAAATATTGATCTTTGTGCTCTTCTGTGAAGATGTATTAAAATTTACACTAACACTCATAATTCGGAAACATCTTGCCCAATTGTTTTGAAATTTTAGCAGAACGACCAATCTAGTAACAACATTCTAGAAGCACGAGGCACAGAGTTCCCAATCATGTTGCACTATTCTGGAAATGCAAAGCAAGAAATAATCAACCAAAGTGTAATATTCTGAAAACACAAGGCACGAACTGACCAATCAAAGTTATTATTTTAAATTGAAAGTGAATAAAAACAAGTTTAACGCACTTGTTTACACATCTAAGAGTTGTTATTCTGGACCTTAACTGAAACGTACATCTTACATACCAGTGATTTACTGATCCATATGGTATCCCTTATATACCAGTGATCTACTAATCAACATGTT